ATGATCTAGAAGATTTAAATGCTGTCTCAGGCTTGGAGTTTTTAGCTCTATTTAAATGTGTCATTGGGGCCTCAGAAGACTAATCTTTTATTTTTAGAACCTAATTTGGTTGCTGTATTACCTAATTAAATATAGTAAATCTTGAATCTGCCAAAGAAGCCTTATTTTTATTAGCCCTATTCTTGTAAAATTGTTTTTGGCTTATTGATTTGGAAATACACTCCATTTCATTTTCTCTGAAAATATGATAGTAATTTGAAGGAATTAAAGTCTGTTGGAAGTTTGCTCTTTTTAATTCAAATTCTTCACCATGTTTGCCATAGCTTTACTTTACTTTTACTTTTAACAGTCCTTTATAGGTGAGAAAGTGAAACTAAAGCATATTTGGTAATCTGTTTGAGATCAAGAAAGAGCCAGGATTTTAACCTCTGTCTAAGTTAGGCCTTTAAAATAAAATAAAATAAAGTTAGGCCTTTAACTCTGTAATATGGTATTAATCAAATACCTTCACTTGGCTATCTGACAGATATTAAATATGTCATGTCCCATGTCCCATACCAAATACCATCTCATACTCTGTTCTCACTATCGACCCCCCCACCCCCCAATAAAACAAGAGAGAATGAAAACCTATATTTTCCAATCTCAGTGAATGGCATTCCTTCTTTTAGTTATCCAAGCCAGAATTGTATAGAGAATTGGCATATACTTACCTCTATCTCTTCACCCTATAGGCCCATCCAGCCCAAGCTGGTGTCAAACAATTCCTGTGTAATTCTCCTTCAACACGACTCGTCATGTTCTCCTTTTTACTTCCACTGCTACTGTGACAGTTTGAGGACTTTATATCGACCTGGGTTGCCTTTATTGCAACAATCCAACTCATTGCCTCTCACATTATCTAGATGAAGAACTAAGGTTTCTTTTTTGTTTTTAATCTGTTGCAGAAATTTTGTAGGCAGATAAAAAATAAATCCTTGGAAAAGTTAAAATGAAAAAAGACATGGAATATAAGTTCCATTTTGAATTTGACAGATATAAAATTACTCTGAAATTTCTGTAGAAGTTTTCAATACTAATTTTCTATGTGTATCCTGTCACAGACAGATAACAAACAATTTGTGGATTGGCCCTGGTCCATAGACAACATTGAGGAACACCAGTTCATGGTATCTGATGAAAAGAAATGTCTTCAGCTTTCTCAGATTATAACCACATGGGCCTATGTTATTTAAAACTGAAATATTTCAACTAGGACATTCTTTGCTCTTGGCTTATGGAGAGCTTGTATATGTGGATTTAAGAGGTTTTACAAAATTTCCTGTTTCTTTAAGACCCCTTCTTTCAATGTGAATAAATCCCATGTGAGCAAGGGGTAGTCATGTGTTACATTATAACTTAATGCTAAGATCAAAGTTTACAAACTTCAGAATCTAAAGCAACATTTTCTTAAATAGGCTTAAAGTACAATCTTCATGGGCTACCTGTAATAAAAGTGATTTCCCCTCATTTGATATATTTAACTTGATATGATGGCACACATATACAAAAGTTTGTTTCTAATGGGCAGTAAAATACAGCAGATGGGTTGATGTGTTCCATTTATGAAAGATTAAAATTCTATATACGTATTAATCTGACTGGGTGATAAATAATAAAGTTACCTGGATTTTGACAGGCATCTGACTAAGTCCTTGTCAAAGTTTTGAAGTTGATGAATTGTGGACAGGAGATGCTAAAATGGTCAGACTGTGGATTATCCCTTGGCTTGAAACAGGGCATGGCTTAGGAATCCAAAAACCCAAAAATGAAGTTCTAGAGGGATAGATGAATTCAGAGATGGAAATGCTCTAAATACTAAGCTGAGATCATACCTAGAGTTAGTTTAGAAATTTATTAAATGAAATCATACTGCCCAGACCCCATTATTGTCTATATCAGGTCTGACACAGAACAAAACACGTGAACAGATGCCTAAGAGAACATAGTTTTCCTATGTGAGATTTTTTTTAAAAATCATAAAAGAAGGTCTTTTAGACATTTTAAAATGAAAAGGCAAATTTAAGCAACTAATCTGTAGCATGGCCAGGTACTAAAAAATTACCACAGAAGATTTCTAACCATTAAGTGTTCATTAAGAGTTAAAAAAATTTTTTAATTCAATTACAGCAATATTTGCTGTCAACTAGACTCCCAAACACGGTAAACTATCAAAACAAAACAAAACTTTGTCACAGAAATTGGGGTGTTATAGGAAGTTTATGAGACTAAATTCCCAAAGCAGGATGTTATAACTATCATCCTTCTTCCATTTCCAGATCATTCACAGAAGGTGGTTAGATGGCAACTTGCTAAACCCACACCTAGAAAGTGATTAAAAATTTTATTCAAAGAAAACTTTTAAACTAGCATAGCTTTTGTAAAGTTGAGGTTGGAGAGGAGGGAGGAAAAGGCAACCTAATTGGTATTTCTATTAGTTATCCACCTCCCAAAGCAAAAAAAAAAGGGGTGAGATAAAGTGAAAGAATATGTATTTTAAAAGGTAATAAAGAAAAAATAAGTAACTTGTTAATTTACATTGTAGCAAGTGCCGCTGAGTTATGGAATAGAGGTGTTCACCAGGTGGACTGGATGGAAAGGAGAAATGATGACCTTGTAGGCGAAGGGAACAGAGAGGAGAGAAGGCATGTGGAGGACAGCAGGAAATAGCAGCCTGGCTTGTTCTCAGAGTAGAAAGCAGTTTGGAATGGCAGGAGCTCACCCAGGCATGGAGTGACTAGTGTCTCGCGCAGTGGTTCTCAACCTTCCTAATGCCACAACCCTTTAATACAGTTCCTCATGTTGTGGTGACCCTCAACCATAAAATTATTTTCGTTGCTACTTCATAACTGTAATTTTGCTACTGTTATGAATCGTAATGTAAATATCTGATATGCAGGATGTATTTTCATTGTTACAAATTGAACATAATTAAAGCATAGTGATTAATCACAAAAACAATATGTAATTATATATGTGTTTTCTGATAGTCTTAGGCGACCCCTGTGAAAGGGTCGTTCAACCCCCAAAGGGGTCGTGACCCACAGGTTGGCGACCCACAGGTTGAGAACGGCTGGTCTAGCTGATCATGGAGAAGGCTTACACCAGTGCTTCTCAAACTTATGGGCACTTAAATCACCTGAGGGTTTATTAAAATTCAGATTAAGGGAAGGGACTTGAGAGTCTGCTCTTCTAAAAAGCTACAATTTTGAGCAGCAAGACTATAAATTTTGTCTTAATATTTATTGATACTTTGTTTCATGGATTATGAGTTGCCACTGTTTAGTTATTTAGTGTTTGTTGAATAGCACAAAATACAAGGCATTTCTGTTAAGCTAGATATTAAGTAATTTTATGTAAGTTTGCTGTGCTGATGGAGAAATAATACTCTTAGCAACTTCATTGACAAATACAAAATAAATAATTTATATAAAGCTCTCATCACTTATTGAATTAGTTGAGTAGGGGAATGCAACATTATAATGGAAAGAATCTAAAATTTGGTATCAGATTTTTAGAACTAAGCTCCAGTTTCAGTTTTGTGACTAAATAACTGTGACTGTAGGAAGATAAATTAACCTAACCCCTCTTTCTATTTTTTTTCCTTCTTGTCTGAAATAGGTATAATACTTTCCATTTCATAGAATTATAAGAGAAATGATATGTATAAAGTACCTTGTAGGAAAGTTTAATGGGGGTTTCAATGATCAAACTTTTGAGATCCCTTAAAAGCTAAAATTGTGTGATTCTTAAATAAAAAACATTGAATGGCCCTAGCCAGTTTGGCTCAGTGGATAGAGCATTGGCCTGCCCAAAAGGTCCCGGGTTCGATTCTGGTCAAGGTCATGTACCTTGGTTTCAGGCTCCTCCCCGGCCTGGGACCTGGTCGAGGCTCAAGCAGGAGGCAACCAATCGATGTGTTTCTCTCACATCAGTATTTCTCTCTGCCTTTCCCTCTCTCTTCTACTCTCCCTAAAAATCAATGGAAGAATATCCTCAGGTAAGGATTACAACAACAAAAAATAGAACATTGAATGATCTGATCCTAGGAATTATTGATCTATGTGTGATTATTTACCCGTCTACTTTTTGAGTCTATTTTTTTCTCAGTGACTCTTAGCAAGTTGGAGACTGTGGTTCTTTGTAGTTTATAAAAGCTTTTACCACTACCCAACCCCAAGGTCCTCTTATACTCATGGCGTATACAAAATGGTTGTTACAGAGGGGTATATATTGTACTTCTGAATGTTCTGGAAGCATGAACAAATAGGTTGGATTACAGTTTTATCTGATTATTACCATTCTTTTGTTTTATTTTTAGTATATCTTGATCATGGAAATTTTCTATATAATTTACCACTTTCAGTTTGCTGTGGAACAGGAACACTCTTCTTCCAGGAGGAAAAAGTAGCTCAGCCTTTTGCTTAGCCATTATCTAAGTCTGTAAATGGCACATCAGTGATCCTCCGTAGGGAGTCAGAGAAGAGACCCACAGAGGCCCTAGAAGCAGGGATTCTGGGTTCTGGTGCCAGTACCCCAGAAGGGGGACGTGGACTGTGGGTGGGCAGGGCACATCTCTTTGATCTTATTGACTCCTCACCCTGGGGGGCAGGCACAGCCAGAGTCAGGCCAAAGCAGGGCCCTCTGAAGTTCAGGACAAGGGCCCAGGTTGTTGGGCAGGAGTGTATGAAGGAAATTAATATTTAATCTCAGTTACCTTTTTTTGATACTAACCTTTGTATTTAGCTTTCTTGTTTCATGACTTAGTATACTTTATTTATGCCTGCATTTTTAATGGATACAAGAAAATTTAGCATCTTATTTAGTTCAGTAGCTCTGAGATGGAAATAAATCTTAGTGATAAAAAAAATTCTTAGATTAAATGCAGTCTTGCTAATAGACAATTTATTATGAGCTTTTCTTCCTAACTCTGTGCCTTGTCCTTATGTTTTGGTTTTTTAGATCGGCTTCCACTCCCCAGGAATATGATTGAAAACAGCATGTTTGAGGAAGAACCAGATGTGGTGGATTTAGCCAAAGAGCCTTGTTTACATCCTTTAGAGCCTGACGAGGTGGAATATGAGCCCCGGGGTTCACGACTGCTGGTGCGGGGTCTGGGTGAGCATGAGATGGACGAGGAGGAAGAGGATTATGAGTCGTCTGCCAAGCTGCTGGGCATGTCCTTTATGAACAGAAGCTCAGGCCTTCGGAACAGTGCAACTGGCTACAGGCAGAGCTCAGATGGGACTTGTTCAGTACCCTCTGCAAGGACCATGCTGGTCTGTGCTTTTGTCATTTTGCTTGCCATTTCTGTAATAATGGTGATTTATCTACTGCCCAGATGTACCTTTACCAAAGAAGGCTGCCATAAGAAAAACCAGTCAATGGGACTCATCCAGCCGGTTGCAACCAATGGGAAGTTGTTTCCATGGGCGCAAGTCAGGCTTCCCACTGCCATTATGCCTCTGCACTATGAACTCAACCTGCACCCAAACCTAACCACAATGACATTCAAGGGTTCTGTGACGATTTCGCTTCAGGCTCTTCAGGCCACATGGAATATCATTCTTCACAGCACAGGCCATAACATTTCAAGAGTGACCTTTACGTCAGCAGTTTCAAGCCAAGAAAAACAAGTTGAAGCTCTGGAATATCCATTTCATGAACAAATCGCCATTGTTGCCCCGGAAGCCCTTCTTAAGGGGCACAATTATACCTTGAAGATAGAGTACTCGGCAAATATATCTAGTTCTTACTATGGGTTTTATGGTATCTCCTACACAGATGAAAATAATAAGAAAAAGTACGTAGCCCTCTTAAGTAATTCTGTTTCTTTGCTCTGTGAGACTTCTGCAATATGGATTCCTTTGCCCACCCCAGAGACAGTAACTACAATTCTTTAACATTTAGGATGTTATGTGTGAAAGAGTAGTATGGTGATCTGGAAAAATGCTTTTTCTTTCTTAGTCAAAACCTTGAACATATATCATATATCATGGTGGGGGTGGGGACATGCTGATGGAAGGAAATAGATAAAGATTATACCTATTACAGTCTTTAACACAAAACATATATTATTTTGAGTTTTTATATCTTATAAGATGAACCTAGTTTTCTGTCGCCTTACAGGATCTCTGTGGGAAGCAAAGTAAAGAAGAGTATGGATTATTCTTTAAGACCTATTTTCCTTATGTGCAGAACTTTTAGGAGGTGCTTAGTGAGATGAGAAAGAGGGTGTTAAGATGTGTGTGGTTACATATGTGATTTTTAGTGTCTTTAATCTTTGCTGGTTTTTTTGTTTGTTTGTTTTTCTTTGCTGTTTTTTGTGTTTTTTTTTAATCCACTGGCTATTTTGAATTTGACAGAAATTTTTTTTAAAATCTAGGAGAGACTTAATTTGGTTTTTTAAAAAAATGACTCAAGCTTGGCCAGGTGTGGCTCAGTGGTTGAGCATCGACCTATGAATCAGGAGGTAACGGTTTGATTCCCAGTCACTGCACATGCCCAGTAGGGGGCATGTAGGAGGCAGCTGATCAATGATTCTCATCATTGATGTTTCTCTCTCTCACTCTCCCTTCCTCTCGGAAATTAATACAAATATATATATATATTTTTTTAAAGTGACTCAAAACATAAAAGTATTCAGCTCCCTATTTAGACCATGTATTTTGCACTTTAATTGTAGTATTCATAGCATGTAGTTTGAATTTCCAGAAAGATGCAGTGTACACTGCATACAGGTTATTCTTAAAGTAGCAATAATGTCAGTTTTCTTGTGTGCTCAAAGTCCTTGTTAGATCTGCTTCACGCAGCTGGAGTATTGTCTCATATTTTTTGTAAACCAGCATGTGAATTACTGATGCCATTTGGCTAATGCATGCCGGTGTATTGAGAAAAATAGAAAGAATATTTAAAATCTATTTGAGAAAGTTTTTTGATCTTTCTTAAATGGGGAAAGAGACAAAAGCAGGATCTGTAGCCCTATTCAGATAACTAATTCTTCTCTTTTTATGTAATACCTTTAAAATAAATGGCATGCTGGCTCTTCATGGGATCAGACATTAAAAGCAAATTTATAATTGCAATGGTAGCTCGGGCGTCTTTGCTTTACTTCTCCTTCCGTAATCTCTATCATTCTAGGAATTGTAGGATATACATTTAAAAAGTGCTCTTAGTGTGCAAACAAACCTATGAGGCAAATCCTTTATCATCTCTTCCAAGCAGATTATTGCCCTTGGAGTAGGAGTCCCATAGTGCCTGCTACTATGTAATGAGAGGGAAAATGTTATGTGGCAGAATAAATGATTTGTGGTATGGTCACTTGTTGACTCTTGCTATGGGCTGGATTGAGGTGTGGAAAATGCTAGAAAAATGGAACACAGTTCCTTAAAATTAAGAAATAGTATTTTAAAATCTTAAATTACCAGTAGTCTGTGAAACTCTGCTGTTACAAAAAATATATAAATTCATTAACCTACTTGGTTAGATAAAAGGAGTGCCCCACAAGAATGCATATCTTGATGCAAAATAAAATTTTAGCAGATTATTTATACCTTTGAATATATCTGAAAACTATAATTCAAAGCAATTTTTGGGTCTTTTTCCCACTTTTAATTTTGCGTAGTTCTATTAGAGAAGTTTTTTTTGTACTTTTTATCCCCTCCTAGGTTTAAGAAGAATAAATATTTAAACAAGTAGGTAAAGTAATTAAGGGATATATTTCTTATTGACTGGAAAATCAGAGTATATGTAAATGTCAAACATGTATTGACACTGCTGTGGAAAAGGAAGCTTACCAGTGTCATCTAAGAGGTGAAGATGGCCAGTAAGTCTAGAAGTTGTTGATGTTAGACTTAAGTTCTAGATAACAAACTGATGCTAAAGGAACTAGTAAACAAATTTAGGTTGGGGATGTGTTTTATGTCCTTGTCTTTCAATCTGTCAGTGTCTTTTTCTTGAACTCTTGAAACATCCTCTTAACTGATCTCCTGGCTTCTAATCTTACCACACTTTCCTCCCATCTTCTTCAGTGTTGTCAGACTCGTATTTCTAGAAATACAGATCTGACCATGTTAGGATCCTGTAGCAGTTCCTCATTTCTAACACGATTTAGTTCAAGATCTGGCCCTTGTTTTTTCACAGTCATAGTGAACTTCATTCCTGAATTCCAACGATAACAGTCGCCCATATTTACTGAAAACTGAAGTGCTAGAAGCTGTTCCAAGCATTTTATATGTTTAGTTGTTTATCCTATTAAACCCACTAACAGCAGGATAGCAATATTTTATTTATTTTATGGATGAGGAGGCAGAAGCACATAGAGTAACTCATTTAAAATTTATGGCTAGCAAGTAGCAGAGGGGAAACTCAAACCCAAGGCCATTTTAACTCAGAGGCCACATTATTATTATTATTATTTTAATTGACCTCAGAGAGAGGAAGGGAGAGGAAGAGAGAGATAGAAACATCAATTAGCTGCCTCCTGCAGGCTCCCTACTGGGGACTGCACCTGCAACCCAGGCATGTACCCTGACCAGGAATCGAAATGTGACCTCCTGGTTCATGGGTCAGTGCTCCACCACTGAGCAACACTGGCTGGGCTGAGGCCACATTTTTAACCACTGTGTTGTACTGCCTCCCAAGTTCACACTCTTTTCCTTTATCCATTGTTATCCCCAGTGCTTTGAATTCTCTTACCTGACCCCCAGCTAATTCATAATTGTCTTCAGGACTACTAGAGGTAGTACTCAAACTGCAACTAGTATTTCTGAAAGCAAATGCAGTCACTAATACAAAAATAAGCTTCAACGTACTGAACATAAGTAAGATAGATTATAAGTATCATCAAGCAGCAGCCTTCTCAAAGGGACTTTTATGTGAAATAGTTATTATTACATCTCTTTTAACAATAATTTAAGATTTTATTTGTCTTAGCATATTATGATCCAAGTTTTATCCAAAGTGATGGTCCAAGTAGACTCTTGTATATGAATAGTATGGCTATCATCAAACAAATATTATGGCTATCATCAAACTTTACCCCCCTAGTGGCCTTCCTCCAAAATCTTTTATTAACTGGGTAAGAATTTAGGAGTGGGGTGAAGAAATGTAGTGTTAGAAATGTAATATATTTAAAATGTTTCATTTAAGTTGATGGTTATCTTCTTTACAGTTTACCCAATAGAAATAATTATTTGGGCAAATCCTTACCAGAAAGAAAGTACAATAATTCTAACCGTGAAAGAAGAGTTATCTAGCATTTATAATAAACATCTTTGTAGGACTTTATAGCATATCAATAGTTTTTATTATGAATAGTTTTATTTGATTCTAACAAAAACCCTAGGTGTTTGTCTGGAGATCCTATCTCAGTCCTAAATTTGATAAATAAGGAAATTGAGACATAGTCACTTATTTGCCTGATGTCAGATGGGTGGTAAATTGAAGAGTTTATATCTTCTAATTACAAATCCCACTCTCTTTTCTACCTATCTTTTAAAAGTGGAAATTTAGCCCTAAGCAAGTGAGGCTATCATGTCTAAAGTGGCAATTGTATACGTACCATAATAACTGGTACCTGAAATATGCACACCAGGGCCACACTTGCCCTGATTATTCTGCAGCCATGTTTGCATGATTTCCCAAATGCAGATGTTTTATTCCTCTGCCTAATTGAAAACTTGCATTTCTCTTTTTCTTTATATACTTTACTCCCAGTCTTTAGATGAGTCAAATTCTCAAGTGCTGTTGCTGTGTTCTAGGAGGGAGAGGAAAATTTAATTCATTTCTGAAGAGAGTAAAGGAAACAAACATACTATAGGACAACTGGTTTTTTTCATTCTTCCTGAAAGTGCAAGTTTAAGGTTTAGCATTGGGAAGCCAGAGACTTTACAGATGAGTAATAGTAATTAATGATCACCCTTCATACTGATTTTCCATCAGAAGCCTTCTTATGATCTCAGTGGCCATCTCTAGCCCATTGGACAGCCATCCTTTTTTTAAAATTTAATATTTTTATTTATTTCAGAGAGGAAGGGAGAGAGAGAGAATAAAAAAACAGCAATGGTGAGAGAGAATCATTGACCGGCTGCCGCCTGCATTCCCCACACTGGAGATCGTGCCCACAACCCGGGCATATGCCCTGACCAGGAATCAGTGACCTTCTGGTTCATAGGTCAATGCTCAACCACTGAGCCACACTGGCCGTACAGGACAGCCATCCTTATTCCCTGAACATATACTGCGCTTTCGTTGTGCTTCCCATTCTTTCCAGATTGTACTTTCTTCCCTTCTCTACCTTTTCAAATATTCCTCACTTTTTAAATGCCCTCTTCAGATTTTGTCACCAGTTTCCTTACAATGTCTCAACTGCTAGTCAGAATCTGTTCCCTACCCTTTGTGTACAGATGAGTAATAGTAATTACTCCAGTGCTTTGTTTTCACTATTATGACATGATTTGCAGCCTGACAAGTTTTTATTCATCATATAACCTCTGTCCCTCCCAGTTGATTGTGGATCCTTTAATGAGTAGGACTGTACAGTGTTTATCTTAGTATCCCTAGTTCTTGGCAAGGTACCTCGAATAAGTAGTTGCTAAATAACTATTGGATGAATTTGCATTTGTTTTAGGTACTTTGCAGCAACTCAATTTGAACCTCTGGCGGCAAGATCTGCTTTTCCTTGTTTTGATGAGCCAGCATTTAAAGCCACTTATACCGTCAAGATCATAAGAGAGGAGAACTACACTGCTTTATCAAATATGCCTAAGGTACTGTTCTGGTTCTTGATTATAAACTTTTGAGTGGATCTCTTTCTTTGTTGAGAAGACTTGAATTCCTCTTTATCATATTGTTGGGAATGATTGAAACCTCATACATTCTTATTCTTTCTTAAAATACATACATAAAAGTTAAAATATATGTTGGAATCAACTGAGAAGTCAGCCCGCTGAGCACTTGAGGAAAGAGAGAGACCTGCTGGGTATGGAATGTGTGGGCAGGAAACGTGAAGTGTGTGCTATGTACTAACGATGTACAAAATGATTCATACTGTGAACTGAAGATCAGAGTGATATGTTCTGAAATGTGGTATGTTTGCTATTCTAAACAATGATATTTGATAGTGTTGAATCATGATTGACCTGGATTTTTTATTAGTTATTTAAGTCAGTATTGGAAACTGGAGGTTTAACAAGAATGCAAACAACTTTCTTGTATGTAAGCTCTACATGGGCGGCAACGAGGGTCAAACCAAGCAGAATTGTTTTTATGCCAAACAGAATGGAGGGGGTCCTTTTGTTGACACCTGAGGGGCTGTGTGCAGTCTGAGAGGAGCCTCCCAGAGCCTATGTGGCTAGTGGAGAGGAATAGTCACATTCAACAGACTATGGACTGAGCCTGTTAGGCCAGAGAGGACATGATCTGTCCTTCAACGGGGACGTTACTTCAACAGCTCCACTCCCAGACATACTCTTCACCTTCATCTTTCTCTGAAAGAGGTGGAATGCCTGCTTGCCTAGTATTCCACAACATATTGCAATTCATGATCAGAAAATCCTATAAGATTGCCTTCATTCCCTCATCTTGTGGCTACTACAGACTTCTCTAATGATTTTAATCCCACTAAACCTTCTTGGGGTCATCTTGGTACTTTCTGAAGCCATTTTGATGCCAGAGGATTAGGGCCAGACTTCCCAGACACAGGTGGGAATGAGGCCCTTGGGATGCTACTGAAAGAAGCATTTTCAGAAGCCTCCATGGAAGGATGGGATGTGGAAGATTTTATTGGCATGGAGTGACTTTTCTCTGGTTCCAATGTCCCCTTTCCCCCAAGCCAGTCCTGAAAAGGGGGCAACTGAGAGTTCAGCAAAGCCAGAAACAGGGCCAGTGTCCAGAGTTTCTGTTCCATGTTGCAGCCAGGTGAGGTTCAGCATTCCGGCCAGATTAAAGTCTATTAGTCCACGTGTGAAGCCCAGCATGGCCATGCACCCTGCAAGCACAGGAGAGCGCAGCCCCCTGCAGCAGGAGTCCCAAGAAGGCCCAGTGCCCTGGAGCCTAGAGAGTGAACTTCCTTTGTTTGGAAGTTTATTATTTAGAATTGCAGTGGTCACACCCATCCTGGCCAATTATCTATTTCCAGGTGTGATTGACAGGCAGGCATTTTCCCATATCTCTCAGACCTTACTGGGCATGTGTCTAAATTGCCTTTGTCTAGACCAGTGGTTCTCAACCTTCCTAATGCTGCGACCCTTTAATACAGTTCCTCATGTTGTGGTGACTCCCAACCATAAAATTATTTTCGTTGCTACTTCATAACTGTAATTAATGTGCTATTATGAATCGTATTGTAAATATCTGATATGCAGGATGTATTTTCATTGTTACAAATTGAACATAATTAAAGCATAGTGATTAATCACAAAAACAATTTGTAATTATATATGTGTTTTCTGATGGTCTTAGGCAACCCCTGTGAAAGGGTCGTTCAACCCCCAAAGGGGCCGCGGCCCACAGGTTGAGAACCACTGGTCTAGACCCTTCCCCCACAGTCAGCAGGGAACAGACTTAGAGTGTTCAATGAAGCTTTTTGGCAAAGCTGTATAAATGGTATGCCTATATCTAATCTTCCCTTTCACGCCTTTCCTGTTAAATAATAACCAGGCTATTACAATGGCATCAGTTTGTAGTGATATCCCAGCTTTAGCTCCTTCAATGAGTTTATTTGTAGCAGTAGAGAGGAGCATGCTATATCATAAGGAAGGATTTTGGTTTTGATGTTGTTTTAAAGGGGAGAAACAGAGCCAATGTTACTTATTATCTCTAACTTACATTTATTTATTTTTTTTTTAAATATATTTTATTGATTTTTTTACAGAGAGGAAGGGAGAGGGATAGAAAGTTAGAAACATCGATGAGAGAGAAACATTGATCAGGTGCCTCCTGCACACTCCCTACTGGGGATGTGCCCGCAACCAAGGTATATGCCCTTGACCAGAATCGAACCTGGGACCCCTGAGTCCGCAGGCCGAAGCTCCATCCACTGAGCCAAACCGGTTAGGGCTAAGTTACATTTATTTAAAGCCATCTTTTGAGACTAAAAACTCCTTAAGGATTTTCACTGTAATTAATATATCCTCATGATGAAGAATGGTAGAACAGACAGAGACTAAGGGCCATTAGTTTAGAAACCAGTCCTGACAGATTAAAATATGCCAACATCTTTGCTATTTATTTCCTATTTGAATTTTTCAGTTTTTCAGTTTATTTGTCACTGTCATTTATTCCCATAGTTATAGAACTATCATCTTTTCCCCTTTGCTTGTAGAAGTCATCAGTCAATATGAAAGATGGACTTGTTCAGGATGAATTTTTTGAAAGCGTGAAGATGAGCACTTATCTGGTTGCTTTCATTGTGGGGGAGATGAAGAATCTGAGCCAAGACGTAAATGGAACCCTGGTATGTTGTTATGGTATTGGTCTTGAAAGAGGTTGAGAGGAATTCTTTAATTATTTCTGGTAACTGCTTTATGGAGGATAACAAGGTTTTGGATCACAACTCTGACATCTTGCAATTCAGAATTATTACTTTTTGCATAGTTGTTTACTGTTATCAATTGAATACCTGAAAGTCAATAATTTTCAAATTTCTTTAATTTTACTTTTACAAGTAAATCCCAGTAAGACAATATACAGGGTGGGCAAAAGTAGGTTTATAGTTGTTCATATGGTAAACATTACAATAATTAATAAATAATTATACAAGACTAAACTATATGTTTCGCATACTCACAACGGCATGTATAATAAAGCTTCTAGAACTGTGTTGTACACTATGGTGGTTACTAGCTTAATGTGACTATGTAGGTTTAAATTAAAATTAGACAACAGTATAGTGGCTGAATGAGATGTCCTTCATTTATGGGAAATTTTTCCATCCATGGGAAAAATGCCTTTGTGGAAGCTGTGGGATCCAGCACCATATGCCATGGGGGCTGGAGAAGTCTTACCCACCTATGCATCAGCTATTAAGCATTCAGACCTTGGTCCTGCTTGTGAACCTTGTAGTGGCATGTGAAATGGTTTCAGCTTCCTGGCTATAGTTTGGGAGCATTTCAAAAACTGTCTTAGACCAGTGATTTTAAATCTTTTTCATCTCATGGCACATATAAAATAATTACTAAAATTCCGTGGCACACCAAAAAATAGATTTTTGCCAACCTGACAAAAAATAGGTATAATTATTTTTTTATTTACACTGGATAACTATTGTTGTTTTGTCTGTTGTCATTTTTTTTTATTTGTCAATCTACGGGAAAAGAGGTCAGTGCCCCTGACTAAATAGTCAGATGTTGCATGTTTTAAAAATTCCTGTAGAATACCAGTTGAACATTGCTGTCTTAGACAGTTGCTCTCTTGGACAAGAGAGCCTTTGTGGAAGTCCAGATTTCCAGCAGAAAAGTTCTAGCGTACTATTGGAGGGAAAAAAAGTATGAGTTTGGATGCATTGGAGAGGACAGTTAGTAAAGACTGGAAGAGTTGACTGCTACTTCAATGTGAAGTCAGTTACACAAAACATCAAGGGACATGAAAAATCAAAGAAACGTGACACCTCCAAAGCACAATAATTTTCCAGTAACTGGTCCCCAAGACATGGATATCCATGATTTGCCCAATAAAGACACTAAAATAGCTGTTGTAAGAAAACTTAATGAGCTACAAGAAAACACAGAAAAACAATTCACTGAAATCAGGAAACACACAAGCAAAATGAAAAGCTATAAAAATAAATTAAATTAAAAATAATAAAAAAGAACAAATTAGAAATTCTAGAGCAGAAGAATATAATGAGTGAAATGAAAATTGCAAATAGCATGAACGGCAGAATGGATAAAGCAGAAGAAAGAAGATAGGAAAATTTGATATCTAGTCAGAGGAGAACAAAGGAAAAAAGGTGAAGAAAGCCTATGTGCTTTATGGCACCATCAAATGAAATGATTTGCAAATTATTGGATTTTCAGAAGGAGAATGGAGGGAGAAGGGGGCAAAAAGATTATTTAAAGGAATAATGGCTGAAAGCTTCCCCAAACTGGAGGGATTTGGATATCCAAGTTCATGAAACTCATAGATTACCAGACAAACTCAGTTTAAAGACAAGACATACTGTAATAAAACCACCAAAAATCAAAGAAAAACTTAAAAGTAGAAAAATGTAAAAAAATCCTTATAATTTACAAGGAAACCTCCATAAGTTTATTAGTGGGTTTCTCAACAGAAACAGAGGTCAGGAGAGAGTCGTATTATCTGTTCAAAGTGCTAAAAAAATAAAACTGCCAACCAAGAATACTCTTTCCAGCAAAGTTATCACTCAGAAATGGAAATAAAGACTTTCCTAGATAAGCAAAAGTTGAGAGAGCCCATTAGACCTACCTTACAAGAAATGCTAAAAGGAGTGCTTCCAGCTGAAATGTAAGGATGCTAATTAGTAACAATGAAAATGTACAACTCATTAATAAAGTTAAGTATATAGTCAAATTTAGAATACTCTAATACTGTAATATGGTGGTATATGCATCCTATGGGATGCATAAAAAGGAGTTCTAAGAGGGAAGTTTGGAGTGATAAATGCCTACATTAAGATAAAATATCTCAAATGAACAATCTGACTTTACACCATAAGGAACTAGAAAAAGAAGAATAAACTAAACCCAACATTAGCAGAAGGGAGGAAAGAAGGATTGGAGCAGAATTAAGTGAAATAGATACCGGGAAAAACAGAGAATGGATAAAGAAGATGTGGTATATATGTACTATGAAATATTACTCAGCCATGAGAAAGGAGGAAATCCTTCCATTTATAACAACATGGATGGACCTTGAAAGCTAAATGACATAAATCAGAGAAAGCCCAATACTGTATGTCACTTATATGGGGAACCTAATAAAACCAGATTCAGAAACAGAGTAGAATGCTCGTTGCCAGGGGCTAAGGGACGAGGGAAATAGGGAAATGTTGGTCAAAGGGTTCATACTTGCAATTACAAGATGAATAAGTTCTGAGTATTTAATGTGCAGCATGGTCATTATAGTTATAATACTGTATTATACACATTAAAGTTTCTAAAAGAGCAGGTATTAAATGTTCTCAACACAAAAAAAGAAATTGAAATGAGTTGAGGTAATAGAGGTGGTAAACTAATTCTACTGTGGTAATCATTTTTTTTAAAATATATTTTATTGATTTTTTACAGAGAGGAGGGGAGAGGGACAGAGAGTTAGAAACATCGATGAGAGAGA